CATAGAGAGAGATGGCACATGAAGAGATGCAAACTGATTGAGGCAGTGCAAACCCAAGATAAGTTCTTAATTCAACAATAGAATATCAACTCTGTCATGTGGTGAATCTAACTAGGCAGCAAGTTCCTAGCTTGAGATACAAGGCTGTTAGACCATCTGCACCAATTATGATTGCACAAATAAAATACCTTAGAGGAAAATTGCAGTGGATTGTGCTTGCAGATATACTAACTTGGGAGCTCATTAGAAGCAGATACCTGACATACCAAATTAGAAGTTATGACTAGTTAAGTGAGATGTGGGAGAATGTGATATTACTAGAAATGTTAGTTGAAAAGCGTTAATCTAGGTAAGACATGTGTAGGGCATGAACCACTCTAGTAGGTTTAGGTTATAGATAAATTGGTCTAAGTCTTTGTAGTGCTACGTTAGCATATATATAAGGATATATTTAAGTATATGTTAATAAAAATCAGAGGCGTAACCTCACCTTAAATATTTAAAAAAAAAAAATACTCATAAAAATAAAATTATACTGCTATTAATAGAAATCAAGTAGAATCTACTTGATTTCTATTAACAGCAACCCATATATGATTTTACTGAAGCTAGTAATAAACTCATTTCATTCTTTTCCAGGCTTGGCCTTTTGAATTATTTTAAGTCATCTTTTCCATTCTTCATACGTTCGATTTGGTAAATTAGATACTTGATATCTTGTAGAATTGAAGTTCTTAGGTGGATTTGTAGGATAATAGATATGTTTTATATAAATTTCTTTTAAATCACAATAATGACAACCTTGATAACTATTATGCCCGGTAAGACCCATTAATTTTGTTAACCTTGGTGTATCACCTGACCAACTAATTATTATACTACAAAGTGTAAAGTATTCCTTTTTGAATGCATCATAACAATTTATTCCTACTAATAATTAAAAAATTAGTCAAATTAACTTAATTATATGTTTGTAATAAATAATTTTAAATTATTTATTATAAATATATATTTTAAATATATATTTGTAATAAATAACTTAATATATATACCTTCTAATCTTTGTAATTCTTTTATCATAGGAAAAAGAAATGAATTAAGATCTTTAGATTCTTTGGGTCCAGGTATAATTAAACTAATTAGAAGATTATCTTTTTTGACTCGATTTCCAGGTGCCAGATTTGTATTAATTACTAATATTACCTAACAGTCATCAGTCTTTTGTCTAAATACTTGATAACTATCAATTGAAGCTAACAATGCCACATCACGCTCATCTTGAAAGTGCCTATTCTGTACTAATTCTTTATACTGAATACCATCGAAGACATCTCCTATTTGATTATTATTTTTATACAATCTTTGTGATATATAATTAGCTTTATATTGTAGTTTTGTAGTATGATCATAATCTCCATATTGAATAATAAGGCATTGTGCAAACAAAAAATATGCAAATTGTTGACATGGCTTCCTGGCTTTGTTATAATAATATCGATCTGATTTACAAATTAGGCACTTGTTTAATTTCTTATAATTTCCAGTATACGCACAGCAAGAGTTAAAACACTTATCAGTTCATATAGATCTAATATTCACAAATGATTTTATTTTATTTTTTAACTATATGCAAACTAATTGGTTCTACATTAGCTGCAATCATAGTTTGTTGAAATGCTTCATCTGTTAAATTGTATTGAACCTTCACTTTAAATAATCTTAATGCAATAGCTAATTCCTCAGAAATACTATTTGCTATACTTGAATCTAATATAGTAATACCAAAGTATTTAAATAAATAATTCAATAAATAAATAATTCAATAAATAAATAAATAAATAAAATTATACCATCCTGAGAATTATAAGAGTAATTATATTCAGAGTCAAGATCACTTAAAGACTCATCACTGTCAGAAAAACTTGCTGAATTGCTACTATTTTCTTGTAAACTTTCATATCCTTCCATATTAATATCAAAATTAAAATCTAATATTTCTATATTAGAATCGTTATCACTATTATAATTATTATTGTTATTAATATCATTATCATTATTAATATTGTTATCACTAATATTATTGTTATTGTTAATATCTAATGATAATAAGAATAAATCCTGATTATTAACAGGTTTTGGTTCACTATAATTAAATTTATCAAATTATTATTATTTAATATGCTTATGTAATGAACCCTGTGGATCAAACTTTAAAAAAAATAAAAATAAAAATCTTAACTTATGATCATTGTTGTCACTGTCTAATAACTCTGAACTAAATTCTGAACTTGATGGCTCTGTATGTATTGCAATAAAATTTTGAGCTTTCATATGCCTAGTTCAGGTATTCTTGCTAACTCAAGCACCACTATAACCTTCTTCAGCACATAAATGACACCTGCAATATACTTTATTTTTATGATTTGTGATGACATATTCTTTATCTAATTCTATAACAGAGGCTTCACTTTCCTCGCTAATAAGATTTAATTTATTATTCATTATAAATTTCAATACAAATGTCAATAAATTATATAAGTAAATTTTTTTTTACACATTTTATATTTATATACAAATCTTTAAAGTCCGATTGTATCGAAATATATAAATATATAAAATAAACTTTAAGACAAAAATTACTTGCTCTTTCTTCCTCTAAATTTAATATTCTTTATTTTTCATATTTATTACCATGCCAAAAGGCAAGCAAACAAATAAAAAATCTAATTCCAAAGATAATAACAAATTAAATGTTGAAGAAACTACCAACCATGATCTTATTAATTTAAAAAGTCAAATAGAAGCTCTTAAAGCTAAAAATGAAAAACTTCGACACCTTCAACAATCTAAAATTATGCAAAGTTATAATAATATTCAAGTTTCAAACAAAAATACTCATAAAACAACTAACAGTTTGTTAAATAGTGTGAATACAAATAAACAGCATAAAAAAAAGTTAGCAGTAATTTCCAGCGACTCTGACGATTCTAATAAACGATTATCAAAAAAGTGAAAAAGTCAAGAATTTATTTCTTCTGAAAATTATAGCGATTCTGAAACAAATATGTCAAGCGATAATGAAAGTTCAAAGCATATTGCATTAAGTGATTCTAAAAGAGAAATCAATAAGGTATATACTGTATAACTAAAATAGCAAATTAAATATAGATTATACCCTTCTTATCTTATATGTTATTGTTATTACTAAAAATTATTTATTAATATTTAGATAAAACCTTTGAAAAACTTTTTAATCGCAAAGCCTCCAAACTTAAAATGATAAAAGTTATCAGAAATACTATACTTGATAGCAAAGTTTATATATCATATAGGGTATTATTTGATTCATACTACTATCTTTAATAGTTGAGCACTTTATTTGAATTTACTTTTTTTTTTAAACATTTAACAAATTATTTAAGAGTGAAATGTGTGAATTCGTAGCTCAGTTATAGGCTCATGATACACCAGAGTATCATAAATTAAGTTCAACTAAAAAACGGGCACTAATTAAAAAGGTATTATTGTTTATTTTAAAATTATAATTTGATACTAATATTAATCTTCTTTAAATTTATTATTAATAGTATAAAGCCAACAATCCAGACTTTCCAAATTGTATTAACGATTGGGCTATAAAAATGATGATGCGTCATTCTATAAACCAACAACGTATATTTTTAATATTAACAAGTCTTACATTTTATTTAACTTACTTATTTTTTATGATTTTAATTTAGGCAAAAAAGAATGTGATGAAATACTACAAAATAATAATCGTACTACTATAAAAAAATCGAATATGATAAATGAATATGGTATTATTATTATTATTATTATTATTATTTATTGTCTTAGAACTAATACGTATAAACATATTTTAATTCGTATAATTATAGATTCTCAATCTGACGCTGAAGATTCAAATCAATATAACCACTCGGAATCATCAATGATAGTTAATACTGAAGGTACTTTATAACATTACATTTAATCTGTGTTTATAATAGTTATTGGGCAATCGACTAATAAAAAAAGTTTAACTATATTGTGAATAGACCAAAATTTATCTACTTCATTATTGCAAGAACCTACTAATATAGCTTCTGAAACCTTTGAAGGTACAAATTCAAATAAGAAACAAGCGTCAAAGAACAAAAGAATTACTTTAACGAAAGGTAAATATTTATTGATACTTATTCTGCTTATAAATTAAAAGATTAAAAATTGGTGCTGAAATATATGGATCAAAGATTGCTCCTAGATATGAAAATCAATCATATATCAGAGCGAAGTTCATGGCTTATAGAGACAATTTTATAGACATATATCCAGGAAAAATACAATTCTTTTTTCAACATAAAT